AAGAAAAAGGATAATAAGACAGCAGGAAGCCATTGCACACAGGGATTTATAAGATCCCTGGAAGTCTGGCAGTTCTACTGCATCATGGAAACTCAAGGGAAGACTTGAGTCATAATGCAGATTTACTTCATTCTGCATAGCTCATAGTGAAGGCAAACTTTTCTATACAGCCTGGAGCTGGGTCCTCTCATAAAAATATTTTACTTCATTATGGTGTGTTCCTTCCCATGTTGAATACAACCTTCCTGCTCACCATAAGACAACTGAAATGGCTGATGATTGCACTCCTTAAGAACAGTCAGGAGCACTTAGTCATGGAACCTGTCCAATGTAGAATTAATCCATGATGGAGAGACCAAAATTTAATCTGTAGCTGTAAGAAACAACCTGTCTGTGAATACACCAGACCACCATTCCTCCTTGCTACTTTAGGATTATTTTACGTTCTGCCTATAAACTCACATGGGTAAGCCAATAAATCATAAATCCATTTAATTAGTTTCATTACCAGGAGTCTTCTTCTCAGGGCCTGAACTGGATTGCTGCCCAAGAGCAGTCTTCTGCAACTGCTCCTGTAATGTCTTCATCTGTTCTTGCAATTTTCTCAGCTCAGCTAGGAAAGAAAGGAGAAGAAAAAGGATAATAAGACAGCAGGAAGCCATTGCACACAGGGATTTATAAGATCCCTGGAAGTCTGGCAGTTCTACTGCATCATGGAAACTCAAGGGAAGACTTGAGTCATAATGCAGATTTACTTCATTCTGCATAGCTCATAGTGAAGGCAAACTTTTCTATACAGCCTGGAGCTGGGTCCTCTCATAAAAATATTTTACTTCATTATGGTGTGTTCCTTCCCATGTTGAATACAACCTTCCTGCTCACCATAAGACAACTGAAATGGCTGATGATTGCACTCCTTAGCATAAAGAAGTACTTCCTTATATAATCAAATACACAGCCTGGACACAGGAAAGCTGTGGCCAGCTCTGCTTCCACAATGACTTCCACACTGGTAGGGCAGAACCTCCTGTCAGTAATCCTGAGGGGGAAGGAACTGGTGTGCTGGTGAAAGATGCCAGGATGGTGTCTGATGCCCTGAAGACTGAGGGCCCAACATTGCTCTTCATCAGACAAGGCACAGGCACACAGGCAACCTTCCCTATACTGCTCAGCACAGCTCTGTTAGTCTCCCTGGCTTACTTAAGTCCTCTGTCTTTCTTTTGGGAAAACTGGTTTGGTGAGTTTGGCCACTGGATGCTGAAAACTGAACTTAGAAACTTTCACAAGGCCTTTCAGTATTTCCTCTCCAGCCATCATCAAGAAGGGGCAGGCAATGCCTCCTGCCTGTTAGCTTTCTAGAGACAGAACACATCAAACGAAACAGATCAAAGATGGTGTTGCAGAAACCTTGAAGTTCTTCATTGGTTTTCTCCTTTGCCTGACTGGGAGCTGAAGTGGGGACAGCTTTCTGTGCCTCCTCCTCTTCCAGCAGGTCATCTACATCTCCAAACAGTGTAGCCAAGTTCTCCTTCTGCTCATCAGTCATGCTGTCCTCAGCATCAACCTCCTCAGTGTAGGATGCATCATCTTCTGCATCAAAGAGCTCATCGTACTCATCTGGTTTTCCATCTTCATCCTCAGGAGCATCCTCCTCCTCAGGAGAATGCCTCTCCTCAGTTGCTTCATTTTCTTCCAGAAGGGAAGCCAACAGATCCAAGTCATCATCAGCTAAGGCAAAAATGAGACTCAGAGTTATTTCTGTCAAGTTAGAAAAAAGCAGCTAAGGAATAAACATCCAAGACACCTTGATTACAAGCTAATGACAACTGAAACTAAATCAGAGCAGCAAATAGCATTAAAAAAAAATATATATATATATTTCAGGTTTAACTAAAGGCATCTAGAGCAGCTTCTGGCTGTGAGGCCAGATGGAAATATAGTTGCAGATGCTCTCAGCTTATGGCACTGGCTGGCAAGTCAGCAGAAAACTTGCCAGCTACTCAGCACTGGCTTTTCCTCCTATGCAGTTCCTTGAACAGCAGCTGCTGTTACACAGAAAAGCCTGGAACCTGTAAACATGTAGCCAACAGAGACACTCATGTGGCTTTTGCCAAAGGAAGGGGAAGAGGGATATGCAAGGCAGGCAACAAAGCACATCCTCGGATACAGTGTGCTCCTGGAAAAACGCAGAGAACAAAGAAAGAGGGACAAAAACGGAGAAGAGATAAGTACAGAGAGAAGAATGGGACAGACAGAGCAGAAGTGAAAGTCTGAGCAAACCAAGAAACTGAATTTTCTCCCTTACCGTCCATAGTTTCACCAGGATTTCTTCAAGAGCCCCTCAAGACAAAATATTCTGTTATGGGGAGAACAGAAGTGATACTGTTAAAGATACACATACCGTATCTAGAAATATATATTGTGTTCAGGCTCTTTGTTTCACAACTTGCAATCTACCAGCTTGGTTTTGTTTACAGCCACAGATGAGAACTCCACTCAATTTAAAACCCTCACACACAGCTTCTGCATCAAAAGTCTGACCCATGCTGAATCTGCTGCAGTGTAAGGACACTACTTTTATAAAAAAAGCTCATTACAGACACAGAATTTAAGAAATGCCTACCACATTCTCATAGTAATAACCATTTCCACCTCACCTGATTACACTGAGTACGCCATAATTACAACTAGCATTTAACTAGTTATTAAAGTTTAACAGTGGTTATTATCAAAGTGTACATTCTGCATTTCTCACAGCTTCTCCATGGGTCCGTGGAAAAAAAATCAGCACGGACGGACATGAATGGGCCAGGGAAGCTTGGATAAGAAAGATGGGATATCCACTGAGGCCAAATGAGTCACAAACTCGAAACCGTGCTTACAGACTTCCTGCTGCAGAATCTTTTGTTTCGCCCGCTTTTGCTAGTTTTCTCATGTTCCAAAACATTCATTTTCAGCAACACTGCTTAACTCGCACGAGCAGGCAAGGCCGCCGCGGACCCCGCGCTTTTCCCCTCACGCTTCTCCGCTCGGCCGCCTCCCTCACCCAGTAGAACCCCGACCTCCTGCGGGGCTCCCCGACTCTCGGCTCCGTGTGCCCGGGTCGCTCCGTGTGCCCGAGGATCTCTCCGTGTGCCCGAGGATCGCTCCGTGTGCCCGAGGATCGCTCCCCGTGCACCGCTCTCCTCACACACCCCGCTCACCGCCGCGCGCGCCGCCGGTACCCGCCAGAATTCGGACCGACCCCGCCCCTTCCCGCGCATGCGCGTACGCGCCATCTTTAGTGCTGGCAGCCGCGGCGCTGCCCGGCGCCATCTTGGCTGTGGGCGGGAGGAGGAGAAAGGGTGGGCGCCCGCTGAGGCGTGGCGATGGCGGCCTGGGGATCGCAGAGTCTATGGGATTGGAAAAATCCTGTCGAGTCCAACCTATAACAGATCACCTCCTCTCAACTAGATCACGGCACTGACTGTCACGTCCGGACTTTCTTTAAACATCTGCAGGGACGGTCACTCTACCAATGTCGAATCACCCTTTCTGCGAAGAAACTGCTCCCACTGTCCAGCCTAAACCTCCCCTGCTGCAGCTTGAGGCCATGTCCTGTCATGCTGTTGCCTGGGAGAGGAGCCCGACACCCACCTGGCTACCTCCTCATCAGTTGTAGAGTGAAAAGGCCTCCCCTGAGCCTCCTTTTCCCCAGGCTGAGCCCCCTCAGCTGCTCCTCCTCAGACTCGTGCTCCAGCCCCTTCCCAGCCCCACTGCCCTTCTCCGGCCACTCCCCAGCCCCTCAGTGCCCTTCCTGGGCTGAGGGGCCAGAACTGAACAAGGGATTAAAGTTGTGGCCACATCAATGCCCACAACAGAGCGAAGAATCACACCCTTGGTTCTGCTGGACACATTATTCCTGATAGAGGCTCTGGGTGAGCCCATTTAGCTGCAGAGTTGCCCGTGTCTGGGCAGAGTGGCCTCAGGAAGGGGTCACAGCAGGTGCCATCCTCATCAGGAAAACCTGAACAATGTCAACACTTGTTTTACACCCCCAAGTTCAATCCTTGTTATCTTCATATAGAGTGGACAAAATTTTGTAGGTTGGTTAGTTTTTCTTTGGTACAACTGTAATTCTGTGAAAAATAGGTCTGAGGATGTACAAGCTCATTGCTGGACTGCAGTTAGTAATGACAGCAAAAAATAATTTTCTGTGTAACATGAACAGGTTTCTGTGTATTGTGGCTTTATTCTTTGCAGTTCCTTGCCCCTCCTGATTTGTACTATTAGACCTGCTCTTCTATCTCTCTATGAAGACCTATTTCACCTAATGCCCGTGTTTTCCTGTTAGCACTCCTGTGCTAACATCCCTTCTCTGAAACCTCCTCAGATGATTCATTCTGATTTGACAAATGCGTAAGTTATTCCTTCTTTGCCCTTTTACATTGATTTTCTGTGTTTTCATTAAGGTTAATACTTCTCAGATGAAATCAGCTCTATTATTCTGTTAGTTTGCTTCTGGCCCAGCAGCATTTCCATCAGATTTTAATCATTGCAGAATCTGTAACTGCCACAGCTCCCATAATAAAACTGGACTCAGGGTAAAAAAAGCCTATAAATCCTACTGTCAAAAGGAACCAATTAAAAGCCAGTAAGAGATTGCATCTGATGGGACTAGTTGGAATTGATGGAGAAGGTTGTAACGAGGCTGATGAATACCTCTTCACGACAGTCAGCTCTTGTGTTACCTGAAATTATGGATGAAGCTATAGATGAGCTATAACAAAAAACAAGAATCCAGAGTCTAAAAGTGATAATTAGAACAGTGACAACAAGCCAAGTAAAAAACTTACTCAAATTACAACAACAAAAAGGGGATTTTCTCCTTTTTGTTGAGATAAAAACACCTGGGAGGACAAGAATAGAACTAATCCACTACAGTTGTTTCTACACAAGCTTTTCAGACATAGGAATTTGAAATCGTGTTCCAGTCTCCCACATACTCACAGAGGCACAGATAAATTTATAATTGTAATAGATTTATTTTGATATGTGAAAATCCACTATACTCTTTTTAAATTAGGTTACATCCATCTCAGTGCTTTCTACCACAATACTGTACAAGTTCAAATGCTTGTATTATAATAAAGAAAAATTAAGACAACATCATAAAAATTAACGGTTCTATAAAACCAAGTGACTTGAGTAAAGCAGGAGCTACATATATCAGACTAGATGATCCGTTTTAAACCTTACCCACATCTGGCTAAAGCAAGAAGTTACATAAGCCATCAAAAATTTAACATCAGATTAGTATGGTCACAAGGGCAGCAATGAAATGGCCATCTGGAGAAAGATCAGGGTTCACTTCAAATTCTCGATGAATACAGCACTATTCCATTTTGCTGAAAGCTTCTCAAACAGCTTTTTTCATATATTACTTTCCTGGTATATAGTATATAAGAGATGAAGTATTTACAGGCTCACATGTATTTTGTGTATATATATATATATATATATATATATTTGATCAGCAAATATCTCATCTCTCCTCCAGCTTCAGTGATTCAGCCCTGTTCTGCAGAGTAGCCATAGAGCAGAGCACTTCAGGGAATGTTCCTGAAAGGTTTCATAGCAGCAGACACACTGCAAGTTCTGTAGCACATCCATGTTGTTAAATCTATGAAAACTCCTTCACTAAAGCAGATTACAACAAGATTAGTGACTAGAGGACATGGGAAGAGTTTTACCCTTTTCCCATTGAATTAGCAAAGCAAACCCCTGAAAACCTCCTTCATAGGACAAGAGCTGAGCATTATTTGAGCAAGAAGGAAAAAACTCCCAAGTGTTTGGCAGGTGAAATTCCAGAAGACAAAGAATTGGAGGGCATCACTCAATTAATGCAGTCCATAACGTGAATCTGCAGTGTGTCCAAATCAGGTAGAATTTCTTCACATTTAGGACATGAATAAATTGAAATATTCCGCTGCTCTGGCCAATCTTGACTATTAGTTCCTGCAAGCAGAGAAGATAAATGATGAAGTATTATATTACCAAATTTTTCTCTCTGCAGCTATCCAGCTGCTAGAATACCCAGAGGGAAGCTGTCTGCAGCCAAACAAAGCTGGTTTAACCTGAACCTGACCCCAAGGGCTGGAGAAGGTGCCTGCAGTACCTCTTTGGACAAGGTGAGGTGAGTGCTCCCGATCCGGCATCCTGGCTCCGTGGCGACTCTGCATCTCTGCCAGAGAGGTTCTGTGGATAATAAACAAGTCAAGGATTCTGAAAACAGACTCCTGTCAACTGGTCATGCATTTAGTTCACAACTGCTGCTCAGAAACAGGACCTAGAAATGCCCCTGCTTTGTGAGATCATGCCAGAGGTCTGCTGAAATCAGGGTCATGCAACTGACACCAGCAGCGGGATTCGGGCAGCCACACACCTAGGGATCTAGGGCACACTTCTCTGGAAGACTCCAAGGACTCTCAGCTGTTCAGGGAAAACTGAAAATTTGCTTTAAGTAGAAAAGCAAGTTATACCATAAAAAGGACTCAGTGTACAGGTAATGTGAAATGTAACTCGATTCCACTACCACAGAACTCAGAACTGTGTACTCACCACTGCCTCCTGGAGAAGCAGCAGATATCCCTGGCACACACAGAGCAGGATTAGCTGCAGATTCACAGCTAAAACTGAGACCAAAACCCAAAGAAACTCAAATGGATCAACAGGGAGAATTTACCAAGCATGCATCATCCAAAATGAAAACTTACTAAGACACCCAACTAAGAACTAACATACTTTACAGAGATTCTACCAGAAAATGGAGAAGTCAGCCAATTCATTTTTTTTCTCCTTTTAAATTCAAATTAGGCAATAAATGTCTGCAAGTTACTTGCCTTTCTACTGAGATGCTCACAAAGACCATGCTGGTCAACACCACTACACAGAGTAACAGGACAGTGCAAAGGCAGTTCAGCCAAAGTCTGTTCTCACCGGCCAAGATCTTCAAAGTTTTGCTGCTCTTTTAGTAGGTATGCCAGCTGGACAGCCAACTGCTCCTTCTCCTCATGGATCTTCTCTCTTGCTGCCCTCTCAGCATGGAAATCAGAACAATAAACCTCCATCTGATCAGAGAAATGAAATCAGGCTGAAAATTTGTAACTTTGACTGAACCGTATTTGTATATTACATGTCAAAATCACAAATCTGTATCATAATCTGCATCTACTCAAAACACTGCAAAGCCAAGACCTGCACTTCTCCCAGAGTGAACAAGACCTAACGCTTTCTGGACTCTGTAAAAGATACTCCTCCAATTCTGAGTGTCTTACCTGGGACACAGGTATTGCCTCTGCAGTACAGAGGCAAAAAGGAGGAACAGACAAGCAGTGAGGAGGTGACTTGATTGATTATACACATAAATCTGTGGTTCAGATAGTGGAACCAGGCCAAGATGCCAGTTCTGTGCCTTAAATGTGAGGCAAACCCTTTTTAGTCACTTAACACACGCTGGTTTGAGTAAAATCATTCCTAAAACATACGCAGTGATTCTTAAGCCAGTGGTTCTAAATACACATCTACTCCCAACCTGTGTTTGTTGTGCCAGACTCCAGCATACACAGTTCCTCCTACAGAGCCCTAGAATACAGTGGGTAAAGGCTCTGCAGGTGTCTGCAAGACAAGCCAAGTAAGGGGTGTTATGCTTTGAAGTTGAGAAAACCTATTTAGCATTCGAGAGTGAGCCATTAAATACCTCCTGGTTTCTCAATACTGGGTGGGGGAAGTAGCCAGTTTGTGAAGAGCAGCTGATACCTGAGCACGGAGTATGGACATTGTTTCAAGGTCCTCCTCTTGCTTAGCAATTATCTGCTTCATTTCATCTATCTGGAGCTGCTTTGCAGCAAGGGCTTGTTCTGCCAACTCCACCTTTGCTGCCAGTTGTTCCACCACAGCTTTATCTACTTTGTCCAGCTGCAAAGAAGAACTGTGATTACGAGATGAACTCCGAATATGAACCTCCTCAAAGTGAAAGTTTGCTTCTTACTCCTGTCCTTGGAAAAGGTTCCCATTTTGGTCACCAAAGGAACTTGAACTAAGACAGCAGTGGTGACTGATATTTTACCTTAAATATTAGTTTTGAGCTTTCAAACTGCATTGTATCAAGCTAAAAGACAACCCCCTAGTGGACACTGCAAAAGACGTTTTCCTAGCTTCTGAAATGACACAGAACAATATGGCACTTCCATGGTGGTTCAGTTCCTAACAAGACCTCACTGTGGCAGGATTTCTATTTAAGAATACAAAAATGTTTATAGATTTACCTTCCCACATTTTTATAAATGATGCTGCAGGAACATGATGTATCCATCACTTCTGTCTAAGGACTGGACTCTCTGCTGCACTGCACTGCAGATTAGACCTTACCCAGAAAACACCATGGAAGTACTCATGTGTGGATAAAGTTTTCTGTAACTGACAGCACAGCATCCATGTTTATCAGAGCAGTGCTGCTATGTTGCATGTAACTATGTAAAAGGGATGACAGTTGTTTCCTGCCCAAATTTGATTCTAAAGATGTTCTCCCATCCTTTCCCCCTCACCCCTAATTAATTAATGATTTCTTGTGATGAGTTTACCTCTTTTAGTTTCATTTCATCAATTTTTTTTATTGCCTCAGTGAGTTCTGGAAGGATTTTGCTATATGAATCCTGGAGGTTGTTGTATCTTGCCCTGTTTATGACAAGAAAAGAGATGAAGGTTTGAAACGGTTCTCTGAAATCTAAATAATGTTAGAACTTAAAAAAAAGCCACTACCAGCTCCTTGCAAATCAGTGTGTATTTCTGGTGAGAAAAAGTCATGCCCCATGTCTCAATATCTCTCTTCCAATGAGTTGTGTGCTGCTCTGTTCATGGATTGAGTGCAAACCAATGTGCAATTGAGTGCAAACTAATACCCTTACTGATCATCTGCATTTCATATTGAAGAATCCATCACTCGGTTTTTTTATATGAAGCTCACAAATTTTGGTCAATGTAACACTCTTCTTAGGAAGACATCCAAGTCTTGACTCAGACTTCAAGTGAAGGAGAATTTACCAGAATAACCACACACAGACTCTGAAGACAATGAGAGCTTCTGCAGCAGCTGAAGATGTGTCCTTCAGGAAGTTCAGCCTCTCTGAACAGCCTAGACTGACATTTTCACACTCCTTACACGGACTGCACATGAAAGGGAGCAGGGAGCCAAAGCAAACAGCCTCTCCTTACCTCAGCCTGACCACACACTTGACTCTCCTAGTGCAAACATACTGCAGGGATTGCAAACCTCTTCATTAATGTCACTTTCCCAGCACTGTCACCACCTGACTTGTCCCTGCCCTCCGGGATGTGTCCGCATTTACCCCTGCTAGTCAGTGGCACAGCTGTTGTCACTTCTCTGCTTCCTCCACTTGTATGTTACACCCAGCTCTATTCCACCTTGGACTTTATGATTAAAGGAAGATACAAGTCAGAGTTGACAGCTCAAGTATTCCTAAGTGAGGGGTTCAGTAGATGAAAAAATACAGACTCCTACTTCATAATCTAAACACAGTATAGTTTCAAAGGGTGCAGAACACAAAAGTAGTATTTCAGATTCAATTCCCCTTTGGCTGGGTTATCTTGGACTTTGCTTCTTCACTGACAATACCTTCCTGGAATACAAAACTAAGTCATACTCACTTTTCTTCATGTGTCTTGGCTTGTTCCAGCTTGACTTCTGCCTGCATGCTCTCCACCTGAAGTTCCAGCTTCTTGATGGTGTATATTAGCTGCTGCTTCTCCTCCAATTCTGATGCAGCAGCCAAGCTTTTTCTTTCCAGTACCTGGCACCTGACAGAAAAGAAAAAAGGTTGATCTCTTCTGTTCACCCCCTCCTGATGGATTTTTCCCAAGAGGCATATAGCAAAAAGAGTATTTGTATGGTTTGCTTTAAAGGCTTATTTTGATGAAAAACATGGAAAGACAAAAATCAGTCTATAGACAACAATCAGAAAACAAAGCTATAGAAACCAACATTTATTTTCTTACTATTATGAATCTCAAAGAACTGGGATTTGACAGGAAACTAAGCAAAAAAAGTGAAGGTGTTGTAACCACTTTTATAACCTACACAATTTTCTTCAAAAGCCCAGACAGCTCATGTGAAAAGGTTATAGCCAAGTCCCTTGGCTTCTTCCCCTAAAGCCAGAATAGGGATTGATTATGTGAAGGAGAAAACAGAAAAGATTTTTCTTTCCATCATGAAGGGTCACAACCCAAACCTTATAATTCAAGGCACTGAGGTTCTATTTGCAGAACTAGGCTGGCAGCTCAGAGTTTCTGACAATTGCTGTATTTCTGCACTTCATCACTTACAAAGAAGGAGCACTCTTTAACAGCACTTCTATGAAACAGTTATTTCAGTTGGTATTTGTAGAGCTGGCGAGTTTCCCAAGATGGGAGTTGTCATACAAGTATGTACTGGGTGTCATGACTTTTGCTCTTCTGAGCCTTACTTTTCTTGAAGTTTCTTCTGAATTAATTCTGCTTCTTTTAACTTCTCATGGGCTTCCTGAAGCTCTTTAAACAGAGCACAAACTTGCAGATTCAGGGCTTCTACTTCACTGCCAACCTTTTAGAAAAAAAAGAAAAAGAAAATTACATATGGACAATTCAAGATAGTACAGTTACAGGCTAAGAAAACTAAGTAGGAAGTCTCACTCTAGAGAAAACTGCCTAAGTTAGTTTGCACAGTTACAGTCTGTACTCAGCAATAAGGCCTCATCTACAAGGCTTCACAATTATTCCACACTGTACACCCCCATTGTTCCACTAAAGATTTACATTTACCACAGAGGCAGGTAACATGAGCTGTGCTGACAGGAGCCTCTGAAGAAACACAACAGTGTACATGGAAATGGCTGCCAGCACAAGCACAGGTGCTGACCTCATGTCCACTTCCATGGGAAGTACTGGGCCCAGGCTGTAACTCAGGCTGAGTGGAGATAAGAGCACTGGAAAACATTAATTAACCAAGACACCATCTGCTTTCCCTAGGAAGGGCATCTCTTGGCCTGACTGCAGATTGGTCTTGTTTAATCAACCCAGCCCTGCCCTGCAATACTTCTCCTGAACTTCAGAAGGGCACAGGTCTCCAGCAGGTCCCATAGCATATTTCCAAGTCCCATGCAGCACTTCAGAAACTCACACACCTCACATACCAGCACTCTAGGATGCCTGTATTATGCAGTTGCACTGAACCAGCATGGATCTCCAAGGCCATGGGATTGCACTCTCACCTCACACAGAAGCTTACAGCTGCAGGCACAGAAGTTTAAGCATCTGACTGGAGCTGAAACCCAACCCCAGCACTCTTTCAAATGTTAATTAAGAACATTAGGACTAAGTTTCTGCCTGGAACTGCATCTCAATCCAAAATAGTTATGCCCCACCATTGTAATCCCACTAAAAACATGAACAAACCTAAATCAGGTGCCATATGAGCTCCACATGTAAAGTCTCTTTTACAGTATGCTGTCACTGGATTCTGATCCAAAAGCTGACCTAGGCAGCAGCAAGGAAATTCCCACAGTCTAGATGATTTCTGGAGGTAGAAATTACTGTATTTTTCTCTGCTTACTGGGCATGGCCAGAGCAATGTGGTATCACTGCAGTTATGCCAAGCCTCCCGAATACTTGGCCCCCAATCCCACCCCTTTGCAGTGACTGGTGTAATTTGGAACCACCTCTAAGACACATCCAAGTTCACTTCCATGACCTGTGCAGGACAATTGCCCTTTGCTCCCTGAGTGCAAGTGGAAATCTAGACCCTGAGGTTGGTGACCTCAACAAGTCAGCTGTATGTTGTTATATCTTGACTGAGGACAGGAACTTACAGCTTCTGAACTCTCTTCCTGTTCAGTTTGTGTCCCACTCTCCAGGCAGTTTCTGGTCTCCTGCTCCAGCTTTGACAGTCTGGAAAAGAGAAGGAGCCAATAATGATGGATTTGGCTTATGCTTCAGGTGAGATTGTGACTATACAAGGATTTCATGCAAGTGATGACTCTCTTTGTAACATCACAGCCACAAAAAAACCTACAAGGCAGAATGGAAAGCACAGACATGCAGGAAGGCCTGCACAATCATGGGGGGTCTTGAAGAACACAGGACACTGTGTACATTTAATTAAAATGGATGTATAAGTCTGCAGGTGTGATGAAGGTCATGACATTCAGTCCAAAGGGACTGATCTTTGGTACAGTCCAAAACTGCCAACTCTTTGGAAATAGATCATTCTGTTCACTGAATCCAGGGATTAATATTGTCTCTGCTTTCCTGCGGTATTTTCAGGGACTGAGGTTTCTAAGAATTGTTTGGTTATGGCTCATTACCTCTTCTAGGAAGACCACATAGAAGCAATTACTGTGACACCAACCTTTCACAGCAGATAATGTCTTACTCTGTTTCTTTGAAGTGGGGATCTGGAACTGCTTGGGGAATTTGCCACTCCTGAACAGTTGTGCTGATTTACACCCACAGAACTGAGCTGAGACAGACCCTCATACAGGTCTTGCTGTGAAAACTCTCTCTTAGGAAAGTTTGGAATTAAACTTACTTTAGACATTTCTAAGGAGCTTTTGCAAGCTCACACACTGCTAAATGTAGCCTGCCAGCATCACGAAGAGGACTATAATCCTGTTTTAGACACAGTGATTTGGTTAAGGCCACATACAGAGATGATTCATACAAAGCCAAATAACTATGGAGGAGTGAATGGAGAGAACAGCCTCAACTAGTCATCCTATCTTTCTGAATAACCCAGGGATAATTCAAACCCAAGAGGAAATGGGCAATTTGACTTGAGCTGTGGCACTTCAGGAAATCAAAATAAAATCCCTTGCAAGAAAACTGTATATAGGGTTTATCCCTGTACAGACAACCACAAAATGTTATTACAACTGAGTGCTCGGGAAATTCCCCAAATCACACTTCAACTTGCTTATCATTCAGAGACTTGGTATCTGCAGCAGCCCTGAAAGAAAACAGCTCCAAATGTTACAGTGCACCTACTTCATACCTCTCTCTGTGATCCTGCAGCTCCTTCTCAAGATTTTCCCTCTTCTGAGTTTCATTTCTAAGGCAGCAGAGCAGCTGGCTCACAGTTAGCTCCTCAGACTCCAAATTCTTAGATTCATCTGCAGATTTGCTCCTGCTTCAAATCAAACCAGATGTAAATAACAACAGCTACCCCTTCAGCAGCACACTTCCTTAACCCTAATGCTGGAATCCAGTCTGAGAGGCCACCATTTCACACAGTGCTGGAAACCAGTGCTCTGAGCAAAGGGCTCATTCCCAACTGCCAAGAGCCAAGACCAATAGCCACAGCAGTGAGTGCAAATGAAGGGCACAGGCAGTCCCCTTCCAGCTGAGGGAACAATTTAGCACTCAAGCAAGGGAAGCAAAAGCAGTCATGACATTACAAAACCCAATGCACTTATTCTGATCTATTTTGTAGCCCTTTCTGCAAAATGCTGCTGTCTATTCCTACAAACAACTTTTTTTTTGCAATAAAGCATGGAACATTTCTTATCTCTGCCTTGCTCCTTTATGAAAAAGAAAGCATATCCCACTAAAAATGGTCATCAGAAATCTCTTTCTTGTTCAGAAAAAAATCTCTTTAACACTTTACCCTCTTCACATTCTATAGCTCTTTTCAAAATCATATTTTGCTACTGTAAATTGAACCAGAACAAATACAAAGCTCCAAAAAATAGGATAAGTGATAAAATACTGTGTTCTATTATATCCATTTTTATGGCCATCTAGACAGAAAGTCAAAATCCCCAAACTGTATGGATGACAGGCAAGTTAGACTGTATATTTCAGAGTCCCAGCTGTAAAACAGCCTGTGTTAAAAGGTCTGCTTTTGTAGTTCAGAAAAGAAAGCAAAGCAGTCTTCTGTGTGCTTCTGAGAGCTAGAAACCTCTGGTGAGCAAAATTCAATACCCAAAAGACAGTGTTCAGCCAGGATATTTTAAGTAAATAACTTTTATCAGGGGATTTTTAGAGCAGTTCTACCCTTACAGAAATAAATCCATCCTGAGTGGATCACATTTCATTGAACCTGTTAACAGCACCCGTATAAAGTTTCAGCACTGGACAAAGACACGTGGTGACAGTGGAAATATTTTAAGAGGTACATATGCCCCCTGTTCTTGCAGATATGGCCCAGATTCTCCTCCAAAGGTAAGCAAGTTCCACAGGGAATGTGTTCTCATAATCAGTGTTCTCACAAGCCACAGCTAACAACAATACTTGCAGCTCAGTCTGTGGTCAGCAACTCTTTCAGTTTTGTCCACAACTGTAACACCTGTCGCCCTGATTTTGTAAGACTTTGTTAAGCCTTCTGATGTTTGCATTCTTTCAACAAACTTTCTCACACACAGTTCTGTAAATAACCTATGTTTTGCATTCTTTCATGGAGGTGGAGAGAATTGATGGACCCTTGGTCTGTCCAGTGGCATTGGAGAGGTGGCACTGTCACCCTCCAATCCACTGTCACCTTTGGAAAACTATAAATGTTGGAGTCAGAAAATAAAGTTTTTCTTCTTCTTCTTTTTGTTCCCCTCGAGAGCAGCAGTGTCTGTGTCATCATTTCGTGTCTTATCACAACAAACACCTGTTTTTTTTTTCCTCCTTCAACTTCTTATCTGCATGCTGAGGGACAAGTTTCTCTGATACTACACTAAAGCACTGTTCTCCCTTGCAGTGACATAGGAGTGACAATGTGGAGCACAGCTTTCTGGCCTGCTATGTCCTTAGCATTTTCTGTATCCTTCCCTTCCAAAAGCAAAGGCACAAAGTAAATAAGAGTTCAGCCAAAACCATCTAGCTGCTAAACTGGGCAGTATCCAAAGTGGAAAGTTGAACAGTATCAGATGTCTATGTCCACGAGGAGTAAAGGTTCAGCCAGGGGCAAGAAAGTCCCTTGTGTCCCGGAGCTGATGTAAAGATCAAATTTTGAGAAGTAACCTGAACAGAATGCTGCTATCTTAAACCCAATAACCTAAAAAGCAAGGACTGTATTGCACTGTGTGTCTACCCCATCATGGATACACTTCATACCAACCACACTCCAACAGGGTCAGATCTGAAAGACTATAAGGCCTCTGACTCTTACCAACATCAGTATAATTGGGACAGATACTCTACTAGTTGGTCTCAATGATTAGGAGGGAAGAAGTCTCTGCAGCCTCTATCTCTGTCTTCTCTCTTTAGCCTCCCTTAAAAGCCTGAAGAGTTGGCAAGTCAGAATGTCCATAAATGCCTGGCCAACTTGCCGGAATATGCATTCCATCTTGTCAGCTAGTAAAAATTGGAAGAAAAAATGTCAGAGAGCTGAGGGTCTTACTGCATGCTAGGAGGTAGAGCTACAGCAATGGAGGGATGCAAAGCCAAAGAAAAAGTGGATTTTCTAGTGCCTTCCTCATAGAAAGGAATTCCCTTATATTGAAAACAAAACCTGAGGCAGAGGTCTGAATCACACATATCACACGAGAACCTACGTACATGTAGACAGCAACATTACTGGGCATTTCACCACTATTCTCTTGATGTTCATTTGCAGTTCTATTTATTTCCTCTTCCTAGGAGAGAAAAAATACTATTAGCTTGGTATTTTATCTAAGCAGGAACAGCAGGACTTTATTTGTTTGAGTTAAGGAATGAAGAAAAACAGGAAGAATTGCTATCATGGCAATACAGATAAATTAAAAAAACTCCCACAGATAATCTTCATGTTTGGAAATTCTTAATTTAAATACTTAACATGCCTTTCCCTGTATCTCTTCCAGCTTGATTAGAGAATAGGAACAACAATGAGATTTGCCCTTCTCCATTCCTCAGCAACTTTCACAGCCACTGTCGCCTGAGAAGATGACTGGGCACCACACAGCAAGTCAATGGCACTGCAGGTGACTTTCAATATAAGCCTGGAAATCACTCTCCAGCCTCCTAAAAGAACCAGTTCTTTCCCACTACAAACACCACTCCTTGACAAACTCCCCACTCCTACAAACCCCACTCTGTAGCCCAAAGGAGAATCCTTCTAGCTAATAAAAAAGAGAATGTTTTCTCTGACAACTCCAAACAAATTTTAATTACATTAAAAAAATTGTTGCACATCTACTTTCCAGAGGGAGGACACGGGGAATAGAGAGGTAGCAGAGGCCTGCATTTTCACATTTCAGTTTGTGAAGGTTTTCCAGATACAAGAACAGTAAAAAAAGTACATTTTTTTGCCTCTAGGGAATACTCTCTAGAGTTTTGCACTTAAGTTTTGTTTGCCTGCATCTCTATTTATCTGTCAGTAGGAAGTAAGCCCCATTTTCAAAAGAAAATGCCCCATTTACGCACAGGTATTGCACCTTAACAAAAGGTATTACTGATGTTCCCAGAAATTTCAACTAAGACAAGACTTAACATTTTTAACTAGTGCAACAGAGGCTATCTATGAAATTAATTTGCTTAGAGCTTTAAAGTGGAAGGACAAAAACAAATTCCAAGTCCTTTACCACTACCTTTACACTATCTTGTAAGACACAAGAACTCTACGGCAGGTAATGTAGGAGACCAAAGAATGACAAAATTATTTAACCTGTGCTCCTGTTGTTCCCTTTACTTACGTTCATCCCAATCTCCACAAAGGAATCCTCTGCTGAGATGTTCAGTTTGACCTGCAGCTCTGAAATGATGGCGAGCAGATCTGCCTTCTCAGCCTGGAGCCGCTGCACCTGGGACTTCAGCTGCCTCACTTCCTTCCCGGGAGCCACGGAGCCCTCCTGGGATAAACACACCCTGCATGAGCCAGCCAAAAGGGAACACCGGCCAAGGAGCACACAGCCTGAGCACAGCAGTGTCCTGCATCCCTTCTTTTCTGCTCAGGCTTGCCTGAAAGCCCCACAGTACAGACCCTTAAAGTATGTTCTGGTTCACTCAACAGCAAGAAGTCTAAACTGTGAAACCAAGTAAATCAAATACTGGGCATCCCACTGCTGGAAAATATGGGACTGGTTCTCTGAGTGCACACATAATATGGGTGTAAATTTTTGCCTGAATCTATGCCTTTTGCTACCACACAGTGTATCAGCCAACCTCCAGAATGACTGCATTTTTTCACCCATACCCCTATTCCTCTTCTCCTAAATCTAGCCAAGATCCAAGGAAGAAAAGACCAGTGGGCAGAGAACTTTCCCACACACCCCCTTTCTTAGCCTCTCCCCACCCTTCAGCTTCTTTGTACCCCATTTCCATGTATAAATCTTCCCAATTCCTTGACCTTCATACAAAGTCCTAGATACCTTCCACAAAGTCTCTGTTCCTCAGAGATTTTCTTCTAACTTCCCTCTGTCCAATCATGATCATCTCCTTTGCCTTCTGCCTTTCCCCTTTCTCTAGGTTACTCAAAATTCTCTTTTAAGCCTCTACACAACCAGCAAGACTCACTTTTCCCTCTCCTTTAAATGCTGCTCCCCATTATGAAACTTTTCCCTGTGAGTTTGTTTCTTCCTCATTTTGTAATCTGAGCTTCCACCTCCTGATAATGCCTTTAGTACACCACATACCATCAATGCAAATTCTGAACAATTCCTGAAGTCTGAATTACATTCTCAGATATGCCAAGTCTCCAAATTATCTCTGTGTTGACAGTGCCTCTCATCCCACAATACCACTCTGCCCCTCTGACCTCCTGCTGCCTCTGATTTTGTGCTTAGACTGTAAGAGGATGCATTTAGAGTCAGTTCCAGGGAATGAGAGAGATTTTAGATTTCTCAAGCAGGCTGGAAAACTCTGGCAACAGCACACTTCAGGCATTCAAAGTACAAGAAGCTCTACAACAGACAGAAAGATTATAAATCTGCTTCTCTTTAAAAAATATTCCAGATTTATGAAATTCTGAGCAATTTATGAAGTCCTGAATTTTCCTGACAATCCTGAAACACAGCTTTCAGTCTGTAAAGACCATGTAAGTAATACTTACACAATCACACTACTTAAACATGACTTTCTTCCCCTTTGCATCTTCTGACCTATTGGCCTATTCTGATTTACATGCTGAAACATTTCTTACAGAGTTCCATCAAACAGTCAGGAAGAAGGGAGAGTCTACTAGTGACTCTGTTGAGAAAAAGGTTAATACACTCATTTTTCATCAGACAACAGAGAATCCACATGGGTCTTGGAGGTACCAGACACCAGAACGCATCAGTTTGGTTCTGCATGAATTTCTTAATTAACTTTTCACATGACCATTTTGGACACAAAGCAGGTTTTGTTTTGATCAGCTTTGCCCACAGATGCCTTCAGTACCACCTGCAAAATGCTGCCTGGCTACTGTGCAACCACCTGCAACATTAGAAATGATGTGTAACAGAGCCAAAGGCAGGACACGGAAAGAAAGCTCAGTCAGACTCAAATGGAACAGCAGAAGCACAGATCTAATTTAACCTCAGCAAAAGAGCTTTCATAAAAGAAGACTGATACAATAAAAATAGATGGCACATAATTTTTTTTTTTTCTTATTTACATGTCAACTTCTCCCTGGAAACATGCTCTTGGAAACATAATACAAAAAGCAATTAAATGATCATGAGAGACAGATAATCTAACAAGTAAAGGGAAGGATAAAGTGAAAAGATATCCAAGAATAAATGAAAAATTAGCAAGAAATGCCAGTTCTTATTTGTTATGTAAAAAAGCTTAATTATTATTGTTTACTAAATGCTAGCAAAAAAAGTAAATTATCTCAGGTGTGCCATAATTTTCTGTTACTACACTCTGAAAGGCCTCACTTTATAAAGTAAGTCAGGTGAAGACCATTTCCTAGAGCTAAGGATAAAAATGGAGACATTAACAAATCTCCAAACCATCACAGTGTGACGAATCCTAGAATCATAGAAAGGACTGAATGCTCCAGACTTCCAATTCAAAAGCAAGTCAAATCTATCCAATTCCTTATTTACCATTTCAGCTCCTTCTTCTCTTTCCTTTAAGCTCTGAAGTTGCTGCTGTAGCTGTTCATTTTCAATGCACTTGGCCTGCAAGCACTGCTTTGCCTCCTTAAACTTTAACTCATAAAATTCTCGCTCTTCTTTCTGCTTTTCTCTCCAGGTGGAAAGTTCCTCATATCGGTCCTTCATAGCTTGGTTGTGCAACTTCATGGCCTCTAAATGGTAGCCAGAGAGAAGACATTGAATCACATCAATATTCTGTCCATGAAACAGCAGATTTCCACTACACTGAGCTCAGCATTCTTCAGCATCAAATGGGCTGGCAATAATTGGGTATGAAATATGAGCCTCTGTCTGGCGTACCTTAAATACCAAAACTGAACTTATCATAGTCTGTTAGCACTATAATAAACAGCTTGAAATCCACTGCTGAGATCACATGCCCACACTCTTGACTTTTTCCTAACCAAGAAGCCAGAAGGATTGTTCACAAGAGATACTTGGTACCTTGCTGTGTGTGGTATTTACATGATCAGCCCAAATGAAACTGCTGAACTGAGCTTCTGAAACTACTGAGACTTGGCAGGGAAAACATCCTAGACTGGTGAATTACTGCATGGAAACAGATGCTATCAAATCAAGTGTCTCAAATATGCCCAACAATGCTCTCCCCCAACATTTGGTTAAGATTCGATTGCAAGCATTGAAAAAATATACCAAACAACTTACAGCCACGTCAGTTCCCTGTAAGTAACAAAGTCAGTATGTAACAGTATCACTCTTGCAAAATGCTTATAAGATTTTTAGGCAGAGTCAATGAAATTATTTTAGACATGCCTTTTTTAAAGCAAACAACTCAAAGCTGGTTACTCAAAAATCCTTTATACTTGTACTTTCCAGTAACTTCCATTACATCCTGATGTCATATGATAAACTGCCCATGAATCCTTCAGGTTATGAAGAAAAATATAGTCTGGAGAATGATTCTGCAAGTTATGGCTTACAGCAGCTGTAAATATGTCCCAAAACATTATCTTATATAAGACCTTTTAGCAAAATACCAAACACACTTCTACAAACAACTTTCCTGTTAGATTCCCATGAGACAGAAAAGTTGGACCACGTCCAAAAATGATTCAGGAAGAATTTAAACACCGGTGTAAAATCACAATACAAGAGATATGTGACTTTATGCTCTGCTGTCAAATAAACAGTGAGATACCTCTGTCTTTTACACAGAAAATTCTCAGATCCCCCAGGTTTTGCTCTAATCATTTAAAGGAAGAAGTAAGTGACACCTAAATTCCAGATCCAGAAGTAAATGTATCTCACACGAAGGACTGAAATCATTAGGAATTTTCAGGGAAGGCTACTGGTTTCTCCCAGATGTACCCTGCCATAGCCACCATTCCTTTTTGAAGTATGGAAAGTAGAGTACCCACCCCTTCCTAATGCAGCTTTGGCAAAATGTTTGTAATGGATCAAACAGTTCTACAATACAAACAAAAGAAATCTTTTAAATCTTTTAAAATCTTTTTAATATGAGCAAATAGCACATCATAGGAAGAGATTTTTCATGTCACCCTCTAAAATACAGTGCTTTGGCAAAATGTTTGCAATGGATCAAACAGTTCTACAATACAAACAAAAGAAATCTAAATTTTAAATATTTTAAAATCTTTTTAATATGAGCAAATAGCACATCATAGGAAGAGATTTTTCATGTCACCCTCTAAAATACAGTGCTTGTATATAAAACTCAGAGCAAGGAAGTCACCCTTACACTGGGCTGTTCTCCCCCTAATCTACCACAACAATTCAATTTGATGTGTGCTACCAAATATCCCGTTGATGTGTATTATCAAACTGGCATTGTCACTTGCTAAGTTGTTTATACAGCGAATGCTACCCAGCAAGGGCAGACAAGCACAGAATTCATACTCATAGCACAAAACAAACCCTTCAGAAGAGACTCAAGGCTCTTGCATTTTAAGACCAGCTCATGTGTGCATTCACCTTTTAACTCGTTGTTCTCAGTGATTAGTTCTTTCATCTGCTGCACCATCTCTTCTGGGGTGTAGGTGTTAAGGGCTGGGGCTGCCATGCTGTCCACTCCATTTTCCATTTTACTCTTGGAATGCTCTCCATTTTCAGCAGGACGGCCCTTCGACTTGCTGGACATCTCTGAAGCAGCTGTTTACAAGGTTTGCCAAGAGCAAACTTTCAATTTCTTGCCCAATTACAAAGAAAGCATAATCACACACTCATTTTATTAACATATCCGAGCCACATGCCTCGTCACAGCACACAGGCACCTTCAATCTCTCTAACCCCGCTACACCAGAGTACCCGTGAGTCTACATCAATCCCCCATGGGCCTAAAACACTTGATGCCCAAGACGCCTTTCGGGCTAACCAACCCTTCCTCAGGAGCCCATTTCTCTGGGAATGAAACGAGACTCCCGCTCCCTTCCCATCCCTGACAGCACTCGGGCCCCGCCGCCCGCCCGGCCCTGTGGGCGCCCCGGCACCGCCTTTCACGCTGAGAACCCGTTTCCGCTGACTTTTAACTTTCATTTTCGCTTTCCTGTCCCCTCTTCCCGTTCTCCTGCATACCCCACCGCGGTGTTGGGGAGGCTGCGGCGCCTGCACCCGCCGCTGCCCAGGCACGGCCGCTCCGTCCCTGGGCCACACCGGCCCCCGGGAGCCGCAAGACGGCGTTTCCCCGCCTTGCCCTTCCTTCCCGCAGGCCCACCCCGGATCCGCCGAGTCACCGGGCGAGCCCGGCCATGGCGACCGCCACCCCCCACTCTGGGCCGGCCTCAGGGACCTCGTCCCCACTCACCCCTCACGGCGCGCCCATGGCGGCAGCGGCCCCGCTCAGCTGACGGACGGACTGCCCGCCCTCCCCCGCCGTCCCCGCCTCCTCCTCCGCGGGGACTTCCCAGCCCCGCGCCTCCGCCTCCCGGGCGTGCTGCGTTCGCTTCCTTCTCGCTTTCCCGGGTCCTGCCCTGAGGGCCGCCGACCCAGCGCGGGGGGAGCCGTGTCCCCTATGGAGCTGCAAGGTGGTGTGGGGAGCAGTGCTCGTCAGGGGAGAAGTCCTGCGGGTCGATGAGGTTGGGAAACCACTCTGAGATCTTCGAGTCCAGTTTATGGTTGAGCACCGCCTTGTCACCCAGGCTATGGCACTGACTGACGCTTCCAGACTTTCCTTTACGGTCACCTCCAGGGACAGTGACTGCACCACCTCCCGTTTCAATGTCGAATCACCCTTTACGTGAAGAAATTCCTCCCAATGTTCAGCCTAAACTTTCCCTGGAACAGCTTGAGGCCACGTCCTTTCGTCCTGTCGCTGATTTTATGACGGCAGAGCCCGACCCCCTCCTGGCTACAACCTCCTGTCAGGGATTTGTAGACCTATAAGGTCACCCGTGAGCCTCCTTTTCTCCAGGACAAACAAACCCAGCTCCCTGAGCTGCTCCTCACAGGACTCATGCTCCAAACCCTTCCCCAGCTCCATTGCCCTTCCCTGAACCCCCTCCAGCACCTCGGTGTCTCCTGAATTGAGGGACCCAGAACTGAGCACAGCACTCGAGGCGTGGCCTCACCCCTGCCCAGGACGAGGGGAGGAATGGCTTCTCCCGGCGTGAGGCAAAATCGAGGGGTGGGTGTGAGGTGTACAAAAGGGAACGTTATTGCACGGGACATTTTAGTGATTTTTGCCACAGGATCAAATCAGTTAGGATTCGGTGTCCCCTGAATTGAGGGACCCAGAACTGAACAGAGCACTCGAGGTGTGGCCTCACCCCTGCCCAGGACGAGGGGAGGAATGGCTTCTCCCGGCGTGAGGCAAAATCGAGGGGTGGGTGTGAGGTGTACAAAAGGGAACGTTATTGCACGGGACATTTTAGTGATTTTTGCCACAGGATCAAATCAGTTAGGAAGGGGTTTGCCATGCTGTGGGGATATAGTCCATTAATGGCTGTCAAACAATGTGGTTGGACTCCTTTACATGGCAGATTCCAGGGATGGGGTTAGCTGGGGTCATTCACCCTGCACAGCCCCGGTGCTTTGTTGCTGTATTTGGAAGGATGCAGGTCTGGGAGTACCTCAACTGCCTGTTCTCAAGTAACAAAGCCAACCAGGACATGTTGGTTTGTTTGTTTACAATATGAAAAATTATAGCCATTGTAGCTAAAATGTGTTTCCGATGTGGAAAATACCAGTTTTTCATTAAATAACCTCATGGCTCAAAAATAAGTTGTTTTGATTTGAAAATGCTGCTTTGCCATGTCCTAGGAGTTGTGAACTGTCTGTTGTCTAATAAAATCATGCCTTTCCATGGGTTGGTCTCCCCAGCTGCCCTCCAGGTGCCACAGGCAGAGATTTCCCAGGATGAAGGAGAGAAGTAAGGTGCCCACTGGATGTTTGAATGGTGGACACTGGCAGGGAGCAGTCCTTTTACAGGTTCAGCATTTCAATGGGGTGCAGCTTACAAATCTCCCAAGAAATAAAGCCAGCAAACATTTGGGACCACCTACATGGTGCAAAGAACAGGTCTGATAGAAGATTTATGCATGCTGAGTCCATAATCCATGTGCTTTTTGCTTACACTGCTAATGAACAGAATCTGTCTCCTTGATGATAGAATAAGATCTTCTCTCTGGGAGGGAATATGATTTTGGAATTGCTGTCGTCTCCCATCACTGCATCTGTGGCTGGATGTTAGACAGGAGTGTATGGGAGTTAGAGGGGCAATAAAGAAACATTCTGAGAGATTGAGGAACAGAATTACTAGCAGCTCATCATGGCTTTTTATTTGAGCTCTGAGCTAAGTTCTTGCAGACAGCAAGACCTTACTGCACGTGCAGCAAAGAAAATTGAGTTTTACTTGTCAGGAGAGTTTAAATAAACATTTGGGTGTTTTGTTGTTGTTGTTGGGGGTTTTTTGCATTTTTTTTTTCTTTCCCCACTCCTGACAGCTGTTTGTTCCCTCAGTAATCCCTGGTCTGGTTATAGTACCCAGATTTAATTTCTGGGAACAGATCTTATTTAAGCCACACATACCCAAGTTTTGGGGGAGCAGTTTATCTTTTCAGTGTGTGCTTCTCTGCCAGTAAGATTTATGTATCTGACAATGCTTTGAAGAGATCCAAATGCAAGAATAGTCCTTGTTTGCAGTTCTAAAATGGAGGTGGGCTGCCTGGAAGCAGAAGTCATATATCTGATTATAATTGGAATGAAACACTTTGCTTTTTAAAAGCCAAAGAAAAATTTGAGTCCTTATTGATACGGAAAGGAGATAAATAACCAAAGAGGCTTTGTGAAAAATAAAAAAATATGAGACAATTTATTTACATGAAAGAAAAAATGGCTTCTGTCTAAGGAAGATTAAAGTGTTTGCACAAAACTCCTGTTGCACATCAGCCTTGTGGGAATACAAGGAATAAAGCAATTGTTTGGGCCCACCTATTTTATTCATATACTTTTTTCTCATGTGATGAATCCTTTTGTCCATTCTGAGGTTACAGGTGACACACAGAAATGAAATGTGTGGGCTCTGTGTAGGAAGGAGATCTGTTCTGCCTTTCCTGGTGAGTGGTCTGAACTGCTGGGCTGAGTTAGGAGTAGCCCATCTCTCTATGCTGTACGGCACATATAATAAATATTTGGAGGTAAGAGGTATAAAAGTGTCCAGCTTTCCCCAAACCACTCCATAACATTTGTTTGCAAAAAAAGACATTGATCAACTCTGGGTCTGAGGGCTCAGATGCAGTCAAGTTACTTAAGAAATTTCCTTGTGGCATCTGAGCCATGGAAACAGTCTTTGTGTACACCTTGACTCCCTAGAAAATGTGGGATAATTCACTTTAGCTTAGTCTGAAATGATGAAGAATTGTGCTGAATTATCACAACAGTCTGGGCTAAAATCTTAGGTATTGTTTTTGCACTTATCTGGAAGCTGAGTCCTGAGAATCAGCCAAGGCTTGAACTTTGGGAAGCTTTGGTACAAAGAACACCTCTCTATGAATATCTCTATATATATACACTCAGGGCTTACAATTTATCCATCTCTGTCTGTCGTGGGTTATGTGGAACTGATGTGCCTCTGCATCTCTTCTGCTGGCTATACTCTTTCTGCCTTTCAAGTCTCAGCATTGCCTTCTTGATTGTTGCTGCAGTAGCTGCTGGAAAATCCTAATTTTGACCAGGATCCCGTGGATAATGTACAGACATAGCCCAAAGACTGACTTCTCTCTCAGGACACAAGAAATATGCACTGTCCTGGTCTGGATTGTGTCCTCTGAGCAGCTCAGGTGCCTAAAGAGGCTTTGCTTTATTCTGCCACAGAGCTATCTGCATGTCTGTGGAAGAACTACTAACCTTGACTAATACCTGGGCCTCTTGCCAACATAAATGCTGGAGTGTTTGCTGTGACTTCAGATTTGCTGATTGAGCTTAATTTCCAGCTGACAGGTAATTTGAAAACACCATAAAGATATGTTCTTTGCAGGCTTTGAGCAGATTAAGTGGGGGAGAGGGGTTGTTATAAAGCACATCCAACTTCTGCAGTCAGCAGTACTCTGTGATGAATGTCACCATAACCTAGAGAGAAGTAAGATGATGAAATGCATTCCTTTCTTCCAACAATTAAGTGCTACCATGGCCTGGAGAGGACTCAGAGCCAGCTGGGAAAATTTACATTAATCATAGTCAGGCCTTAGATGATCATCTACAGTAAAACAGCTACAAAGAACATGAAAGTCAGATGTATGATATGAAAGTTTTTCTGCCACTGACAGATTGTAGGACAGGTTAAATCTGGGATCATCATAGATTTTTGATTATCAGCCCAGTATTGAATCTATTGCTGTTGATACTGTTCTTACCTTCCAAGGGAAAATCATCAAAACCGAAGTCCAGGAAGCCAAAAGATGACAGAAATAAAGTAGTAGAAAAAAAAAATGACCCAAGGTCCTGTTTTCAATCTAATAACCCTGCTGTGGGCAGGATATGTGAAGCAAGGGTAGTGCCAAAGAATGTGTCTAACTAACTGCTTTTGGCCCATTGTGAGTTCAGTGCAGTGTGTTGTGTACTTCTTTCCCTCCCACATGTAGCCAAATGGATAAGTTCTTTTACAACTGCAGTTATATAACACTCCTGTGCAATGACACAGGAGAGTAAAGATGCTCTAGAACAATATTTAGATGATCTAATACAGAGACTGCTGGAATTTAGGGAAATTGTAATGTCATGGTTTTATTTTTCAGATTTTTCCTTCTCTAGTCAGTTGCATTTGGATTGTGCAAAGTTGCTGGAATTCCTCACCAGCAGCTCTGATTTCTTTCTTGAGACCAACTCATTCTGTCACCAGTCAAAAATATTATCTGTAGGGTTTTTTCTAATAAATTTAGTGATTTGAGTCAAACTAGCAAAAATATCCCACTTATGGACAGTCTAGCATGAGCAGCAGAAATGAAAAGTATTCCACACTATTTCCTCTACGTATCTGGCCCTGCCTTAGGAACTCTGATGACAAAGTAATTTTCTGCCTGTCAGTAAGCTGGTTTAGAAATTTTGTAGAGAAGAGCAAAATGTTAACCACAGGTCTGATGGTTTTGTGATTTTGTGTCTGTCATTGCAGAGGAGATGAACTGGCTCCTGGCTGTGGAATAACTACCACAGACAGCACTGTAGGGTCCTTGTTCAGGCTGTCTTCTCTTTCGTGACTGATCAGCAGATACTGGTGTCAGCTCAGGATGCAGTACATTTCACTCAACAGCTGCCATGCCAAAAATAAGATGGATAAATGTGCAGAAAATCTAAAAACCAAACTGACCACCATCCTTGTTTTCTCTTCCCAATAGATGGCAGCAATTCTCTTTCCGTATCGTCATCTGTTGAACAGGTCAGGAGCTCTAGAATACCAGAAGAATTAAAAAATACAGGCATCTTTGCCCTTTTATTTTGCTCTTTCTGAGTGTGAAATTTGCACCAAGAAGGCAGCAGACTGAGAAAATGTCTGAAGCCCTTGGAATGTGGCACTGCTGCCAAGTACAGCCGTGCCAGGAAAACACAGGCAGGTCAACGAGCAAACGTGACCCAGGGCTCAGAGATGGGGGAGGGAGGTTTACTTTTATGATCAAAAATAAAAGTGAGACTGTTTTAGGGTTTAATTGAGAAGGAATTGGAGAGCCATGGAAGAAGGGAATGGAACATGAGGATTCCAGGTCAGATGGAGAAGTCTCGGACAGCCAAGGAGCAATGTCAGTGCACCTTGTGGAGGAAGAATCACACACAGTGCACTGTCCAGCACAGCAGGCTCCCCTTGGAAGAACTTT